TTCTCGTAAGTCATCGTCTGTTAAAGTAGCGAATAGAAGGCCGTCTACCTTCTCTTGGCGACAAATGTCGGCAATATTGTCCAGTCCGCATGTGGTCAACAGATTGACCAGTCCAGTCACGGTTAAGGAGGCGAATATTTTATCTGGCTGATCTGTATCTTTCAGCTCAACGTAATCATGAACATTTTCAACGTAATCGTAAACATTTTCTATATCTACATTGTCTTTATCGACGTCAACATTGAAGACGCACACATTACTCCGTGCCTGTCCTTGGTCTGCTGCTGCTGTTCTGAGATTAAGTTGTTGAGTTGTGTAGTGATGTTCCCGATTACTGGACAATTTCAACACCAGCTTCTGCAAGCTTTTTGGAACTTCAAAGGCCACATGTTTCACTGATTGTTTTGGAGCTATATTTTCTGGAATGATGTAATCGTCACCTTCATCATCAATGGCGTCATTTATAGATTTCTTAGATGTTTTTTGTTGAACTACTGTTGCTAGCTTGAATTTCAGTGCTTTGATTTTGTCTTTGTATTTTTTCGAGAATAGCGCCCTAGCCGTTGTAGCATGGCTTTCGGTATTAGATTCGGTAGGTTGTTCTACCTCGTTTTTTTCTTCGGGGCCTACTGGCACAGTATAGAAATGATTGTCGACTTCATATAAACAAAAGTCTGTGTAATCTTGATGTGTTTCCTGAAACATATAAACAGACTGTGATTTTGAATTCGAATGTAAATGAAACTTGAACCAAACTATCAATGTATATTTTCATGGTCTAAAAACAACAAGAAAAGACCAACGTATCGACACAACCCAAACTCAGTGTTTATACAACTAGGAACACTATCGACAAAAGAGAGAGAAAAAAAGCACCTGGAGAAAAAGAGTAATCGTTCTAAGCTTCACCAGACAGTGTTCTTCAAATATAATCAATTCAGTAACAGCCAGTAAGTACAAACAGGTCAACAAAATCGTGATTCAAACACAACTTTTATAAACATGAGGCAATCTATTAATCAAAGGGACATATGTTTACTTGAATGATGTAACACATTCATGTTTGAGATTTACAAATTTTCCGAACATCAGTATTTCAATCATTAAAACATTAGCTTAGAGGAGTAATAACTATTGTTATGACGACAGACAATTTTGACATGACATGACCACAAGGATGTTCTACCATTGTATGTGTCATATTATGAGAAATAAAGTAATTCGGGAAATAAAAAAATATCAGTCGAGTAACAGGTATAAATATAAACAATTATGTTATTTATACAGCATCTACCACGAAAATGAATCATGATGTTTAGAATAAATGGACTACTTACATCAGACTTCGGTACCTGTTCATCATCAGTGACGGTTGTCTGGTCCTTACCTGGTGTAAGAAATGTGATATATAGGCCAACATTTATGTGGTTTAGCATATTTTGTAAAAACATAAACTCATGCGTTGGACTAACCTCTCTTGGTGCCATTGACGCATGGTTTTGTGGGAAATAGAACGCTAGAAATCTAATGACACTTACAATGTATACCAATCATTTAAACGTTTATGAATTCTTGAATCAATGAACATGAGTATCCAGTGATTTCACGTAAATATAATACCGATAAAAATTAAATTATTTTATTGTCAATTAAAATATTAAAACTCGAATATCAGCGGGTTTGATGGTTATTTTGCTGTAATCCTACACGGTTTTAGCTTACAATGTGAGATTTTTGTCCTTGGATATTTTGAACTTGAAGACTTTTCATTGTTATACAGGATGTAATGAAATTATAACCTTACAAAATCTACCCTTTCCGTCAAAACGTTATTAATGCATTGAGTTTAAAAAAGGACACGTTTGGCAGTATCTCAATATGTTTAAAACACTCCATGTACAATTTCCGTATGACATTGTAAAAACAACATAACGTTGTCAGTGTTAAATAGCAGGTTGTTAATAAACAAACAAAACATACCTGATTTTTCTGCAAGATTTCGGTCAATTGCTCCCATGAGGTGCGGATGATTCAGAATTATAACATCCACGATACTAATGTGGTCCAATATGGACTGATGATATCCCGTCCCCCTTTGGATGAGACTGTCAGAAACCATGGTGTTTTCATCTTCACAAACAACTACGTTCATATGTTTGGCAGTAACACCGTCCGGTTTGACTATGACCACACTCTGGTAATCACGTGTAACTCTGCCCCCATGAAGAGCCTCACATGCAAAATTACAAGAACCAACAACCAGATCTTGGTGAACAAATTCACGAAGTTCAAACTCTCCATGCAACATCTTCTGTTTGGTTCCTATCCCACTGACGTTTTCCGTTTCAGTTTGTTTATTCTGTATAAAACTAACATACTGTGGAAATGGATATCGATCATACAACTCTTGCAAGGTATATAGTGAATTGTCAGGGAGTTGAAGAAGATTTAATTTAGCGTCTTCGTCTAAAATGTATGATCTTTCAGTATAAACACAAACGGCCTGCCCATCACGTATTGTTATTTCTATATCACATTTCTCACCAACAACAACGTTACCATTTTGTACGACAGGTTCGATAGTTCGAACATATCTCGGTCTAGCACTCAGGAGGTCGTCTACATTGCTATACACAGTTATACCTGCATTGAGATTGATTAACTGCAAAAGTCCTTTGTATCCCAGGGGAATGGAGACGGTATCTTCTGTATAAATGAATTCCGATGACGAGGAGTTTAACTTCCGGATCACCCTGCATGCCCGCACACTGGGTATCCACTCTATGGAGTCTAGTTTCAGTAAATCCCCAGATGAGAACATGTATTCTACATCATCTGGGCACGTTTTCTCCACTTTAATTAGGACAGGAAATGTATGTGATACGATGGTCTCCGCAAGAGTACGCGATGTTTGTGACCACACCATCTTGTCAGCTGCGCAAGATACGACCATGTTTAAAGATAATAAATAATCAAATGTAAACAAAGTACACACGACATAGTCATGTCGAAATAATGCAGTAAATATGTCGTATTTAATCTATTGGCGATATGATTGTTAATACAAACGCAAACAAACGCGTTTGCTTTTCTATTTCCTTAATATGGTATTAGCTGATATACAGATAAAATAAATGTAAGCCGTGGAGCTCAGGCCTATGTAACATCAGGTGAAAATCCAATGTACATAGATCTCTGGTGGTTTGTGTCTTCCTAGTAAACTCAGTTTATAGTCGTTGTTCATTCCACAAGGCGATCTCAGAGCGTAGTAATCAACTAATGTTATTTTCATTATCAAATGATATACCTACCATCTCAATTTGACAGGTTGTCATTTGTTATGAAGGTAAGTATTGACGATGAATATAATCATGAATCACATACATATAACACTATAATAGAAACAAAAATATTGTTCAAAGACGCATGATTGTACCTTTTGCCCCCGCTGCATAATCGTAGCAAACGACTAAATTTTAGAGCTGATCTTGTCTCCTTTTACAAAATAACTTATTTTTTAAACTCTAATGTCTCCATGACACTGCATTACTTTTGGAGTCCAGTTGAACGTTCGCACATATTATGAAGATTTGGCCAACAGATTCCATAGTCTTATTGCTACTTGCTCAAAATTGTGGCAGTGAAAAGACTGGAATTTTCATCGTCAGTATAATTGTATTCGGATGAGGTATGCTGATTGTTGTCTTTGTTAGTATCACCTGGCGATACCAACAAGCATCGACTTTTAGGAATTTTTTAAGGTTAGTAATTGACAGATGGTATTCAGTGTATTCGGGAAAGTGCGGTCCAAGTACAGATCAATATAGGAGGAGAGGACAGAATTTCTATGAATTGTTTACTCATCTGTTGTTAAAGAAAGAATTAAAATGACGAGAATGCAGTACATTAGTTAAGTAAGAAGGGCACTGAACATTTAATAACTATTCCTCATTCGAACAACGAGGGATTTCCAACCTTATCCTTAGTATAGTGTTTCGCGATTAGTGAGTTTAGTAGCACCATTGTTAATGTTCTGATAACTGACTCTGCCATTTGGTTATATTGTTCCACTCATTATCACCGTATTCAAACAAGGGTATTATAAGAGAAAGCATATTGTTTGATTTTAGTAATTAGCTCACTCATTAACAGAGAATGAAATCGACACCTTCAGAGTACTTTACCTTTATAATTATCAATAAGATCTGTCGCCTAGATAACTTACGAATTCGAGGAAAATATCATCTGATTTCAATCAGTTGTAAATGTAAAATTTAGATCAATCTTTTTTGTTATAATTAATTTCCTGTCTCCTGTGATTGTTAATGTAGGCCCTAAATATTACTGAATAGTTAAGAAGTACGAAACAGCTGTAGGATGCAGTTTAATTCATAATTTGACTAACTGTATCTTATTCTAAATTTGTATTGAAAGGTGTTATTCACTTGAGTACCTTTTGTTCATTTATTTACACCATTATGTAGAGTTTCAACATTTAAATGGAAAGCGGAAAAGTTATGATGTGATTAAGCAAGAACCGAAATGCATTTCTTTCTTCAAACTTTTCATGAACCGAAATGGCTATACCAACAAACGGTCCATTACAAATCTTAGAATTGTGGTTTCATCCCCTAACAACCAGCTAAAAATCAAAGTAATTAAAAACAGACACCAAACAGATATCAAAAAGCCCAACTCATTTGATCTTGCAAAATGTACCTCCCATTCTAAAGTTTGGCTTTTCTTCCGATCACTTTGGATTTTCCTCAGTCGCCTCCTTGGCTTCAAAATGTAGGCACTTAGCATCATTGACGAGTCCTAGAAGGGCAAATCAGCTGTATAATCCATTGCTTTGCTCAATTGTATCTAAATCTAAATTTTAACTAAAATGTGCTATTCACTTGTGTGTCTGTTGTACAATCTTAAACAGGCGCGAAATTCACTGAATTTAGAATAACACATTATCGTACATTATTTTGATAAAAAAGCAGTAGGTCACTTGCGAGTCAAACCTCAGATCTATAAACTTACATGGCAGAAAAACGGTATTAGGAGCACAATAAAAGTAACAATGTTTGTTATTAATCATTCGCATTCGGTTCCCATCCGTAATCTCGCATTTTCTGGAATTTCAAGACTTGAAATTTATTGAGACCGAAGATGTTGTTAAGATCGTCATTTGTGACATCTTTGAGAATTTTGCCATCCAGTGCCTCTTTTTCTACTATGTCAGCCATGTCTTGTAAACCACAGCGTCGTAAATATCCAGCAAGGTCCTTTGAATTCAGAGCGGAGAAGATGTCTATAGGCTCAATAGAATCTTCCGGCACTGGAGAGAATGGCATTGCTTTCTTGTCTGGTAATAACATTCTCTTCATTTCTCCAATTTTTTTCTTGGCCTGCAAAGCAAAAATAGAGCATAAACAAATGAACGCAAGGTCAAATTCTAATGAATATTAAGTACTACAAAGATTGGTGCAGTAGATCGTTTGTATGCTAAAGTTATGGTAATTATTACTGAAACAGAAGTCCAAATTTCCTACTGGGTATAATTCCAAGGTATTTACAATTTATTATGATACGAATAAGCCTATTGTCGGAGGGACAAAAGATTATCCATATCCAGGTAGGTTTCGCACCTCGTGGGGTAATATAATAAAGATCAAAGCCTTAACTATAATATTGAAGTGCACTTCGGTCAAGCAGTATTGACGATCACTTTGGTTAGCTTTTCAATTGATCATTTCTATGGGGCGTTTACGGAAAATAGATACAGGTAGAACAAGTATGATGACATTTCCCTGCAATCACTTTAATTGGTCTGTCGACTATGAGTACTTTGTTAACAGTTATGATCATGTTGAAACGTAACGAGAGAAATTATTTTCCAATTTCAACAATTTCAATAATTTCTAGTTCTAGTTCGATTTCACATTGTTTATGAACTAATGCATGTAACAGTACTGAATGTGGATTAAGCGTTATTTTGCCATATATATGCGAATAGCCGAACAATTTATGTTGTGAAGTATTATGATGATTATTCTATTAAAAAAGTTACCTATACGTTTATACGTGATATTTTGCTAGTTTTGAAATAGGAGAAGATACATAAGTGTCTTTCCCGTGACATATTTTCGTGTTATTTCCCCATTTTTAAAGCCGAGTTTATACGACAGACAAATAGGCCAAGGTATTTGTTTCATCTCTCACGTTTAACTTTTTCAGTTAAACTAGTTATATGCTCATTCGTCATACTGAAACAAATCGAGTCAATATAGGTACGTTCTGTTTCTTATTGGTAAAATGTTAATGGTACAGTGGTACTGTATGGAATCAACATTAAATCGAATATTCGAAAACTAAATCAGCCAATTATTCGAATTGTAATTTCTATCGAATTTACATCCTTTATCACATCCGGGTCATCGTATCCTGAATACATTGTTTAATCCATTATCACGTATAAATACCTTACACACGATACATTCCTGAATCATCTACATGTCTTATAACTACGTACTAAATACAATATGCAGAATGAAATAATTCATCGTTCTTACCTTCATCGCCATCCCCTCTTTAGCCGCGTCAGTTGCATCTGCCGGTCCAGGATCATAACATAAATATATGTACTAATTGTTAATAAACTTTTAAAAGCTTGCGAATTATTCTAGTCACTATTGCAAACTCAAAGGTAAAAATACATTCTTGTATAATATATCTTATATAGCATACATCATTATTGATTATTTATAAATGCATTAGTAGGCATAATTAAACATATGAATGATCAGGATAAAGTTGATATCTTACCTTTCGCTGGAGTTTTACCGTTGGCCTTTGTTGTGGAAAAACTTTTCCTTTTCTCCAGTCGTGGTGTCACTGCAGGCTTATGTCTCTCCGCAGTTTCTTGGTTAACTGTTTTCCGCTTAACATAATTCATCAGTTCATTGTGAACCTTTTTCAAACCGTCCCTGAATACCTGTAATGAGTCAATGATTGTCATGGTTACACGTCTATACCATGAACGACGACGTAACTACTATACTGTTATATATTCAGAGGTGTGTCTTTTGTACATTCTCCATCATTAAGAATACTGTAATATGAAAATCATCCAATTTTTTTTAAGTTAAGAAATTTACAGGTATAGGGCTAGTGCACCACGTCATCTAGATTTTGACGTATTTTTCGACTAATTCGGATTTCTCCTCAATCACATCTTAAGTTGCGACATTTTCGGCCTTCCTGAAAGGACGAAACAACTTTATGATGGAGTTTAATTCCTTGTTTACTTCAATTGCTTTGTTTATATGTACATATATTGACATGAAATCATTGTGAATAAATGCATATAACATATTTCAAGCGAAAGGATAGTAGAATCTACTTGCTGTAAATGATCGGTACATTGTAGATATATTGATTATACAAAGGCGTTTTAAGCCAAAACATAAACATGGCTATATATATTAGTGTTATGCTTCTTGTAAAATCTAGAGAGTTATGTTATAATTTATGGATATTTGACAGAAATTTCGATATAAGATTAATTCCGGCGTAATATCTTCGACTTTTGTGTTCTTACATACTTTGAGATCTATAGCTGTACTAATAAACTGAAATAAAATGACGTTGTGAAGAAATTTCGTTTGTGGACTACATTTGTTGACAGCGTAGTTAAAGTTGTGATTACGTTAATAGCATGCACATAATCATCATTTAAACCCATATTCACCAAAATTGGGACAAAGTATGAACAAAAGGAAGACTTCCAAGAAAATAAAGGCAATAAGACCTGGGGTACCGGAAGCATAAGCGTCTTCTGCTTCATCAAAGATACCCGCCATGTAAATATTGGTCAATCTGAACAAGTAAAGCGTTACGAGTTTATCTGTCAGTTGACGACATCCTGCACGGAACTCATGATATTGGGAACTAGTCCTTGGATATCAAATCAACTGCGACATAAAAACAGCACATGATGAGGATGCAGGAAGTTGCTATCTAGAAAAAGGAGCATTACAATAAGGACATTGAAAGCATCACACTCATCATACACCTTGGTTGAAAACTGTCCCTATTGAGTTTTTTCAAGAGAAAATCTGAATAAGGGCCTATGAAGAGAGTCTGTTGTATCCTTGCTTTCCAATTCTGGTGGGTAAATATGATAAATATGGTTCAATAAATCTCTAGACTAGACGTCAACAATATATCAGAATGTGAAATTGAACGACTTTGCGATTTTTGATCGTTTTCTAGTTCTTTATTAAATAGAGTCTCGTATGAAAACAAAAACTTGTCAGTCAACAGAGGGGCACAGTTAGTTCCTATAGGTATGCCAATAGCCTGTTATAGAGCTTGCCACCAAACTCAGTGAAGAAGTTGTAAACCGGAAACTCAATCATTTTTATGAATTCGTCTCCTGTTTATTTCTTCATTCGTTTGAATGTATTTTCACGAAATACGCTTCAGTATAGTTCACAACAACATATTTTTACCGCCGTTCATCTTTCGTGGAAAAGAAAGCTCTCATTACAAGGGAAGGGAGACGTCCTTTTAGTTCAGAATGGGTATAATGATGTACAGAAATGAAAAAAACCCCAACAATTTCGACGTGTTCTGGTCGCCATGGTATTTCTCTTGGTTATAACTCTGGGAATTTCGGTTAGATTTCAACTTGATTTGGCATGAATTAAAAACACAAATCACAAATTGCAAATTTGTAAATTCCAACTTTGTTGGCCACTTTCCCTTATAATTAGCATGAATTAACAAATACTTTAACTTGTTCTTTAATCTTGGAAAAACTGGTTATTTGGTCAAATAAAGAAATTGGGTCATTTGTAAAACATTTCTTTTTTGGGTTGTTATGCGGTTTTAAGCTTGTTCAATCAAATAAAAACTTAATTTTTTTCTTTACTTCCAAGTATCATCCTATTTTCTTTCAACAAAAGACAGAATTCTAATATGAAAAAAATCTGTCGCAAAAATATCTTAAAAGTGCTTGTTATGCAAGATTGTATTCAGAATATCATGTGACAAGGAACTATTTCTTTATAAAAATATTCTGATGTCTGTGTCGGAAAATAGGTGCAACAGCATATTGATTTTTTTGTTTAACTCTACAAAAATCAGCACCTGAAAAAGGATTTAATATTAGATTTTGTTTACTTCTCAGATGAGTACATCCTTTAACGTCGAACATGTGTTCGTTCTATAGTACTAGTGCGAATATACTATGTAGTGCATTTTCCACCTGTAGATAACGATTTGCTATACTGCTATAACTGGGATTCGCTATGAACCATACCTGATCTGTATGCATTACTTAAGCTCTCAGTACCTATTATGCATTGCCCACATTCTAATATGTGCAAGTTCTATAAATAACCGATGTGGAATGTATTCGAGATTTAAAGATATAAATGATATTTACCATTGGTACTTTGGATGCGATATTTTCAACTTTATCAGATTCGGATTTGCTTCTACGACCTGTTAAAAAGAATAGTTATAACAATCGTTTATAATTTCAACATGAAGAAACGGTGATGCATTATCGCAAGTACCTGTCTAAAATTCGTTCCATGTTTTAAAACTAATTTTATTTTTAAGCTGGACAATTCTTAGCGACATTTAATGATAGTTCTAATTAAATGGGAATCATTTGCAACAGTAAAACGATTCCTGGGCAAAATTACTATGAAATCATGCACAAAAAGATGCTAAACCGCCATCTTTTAAAACATCAATTAGGATAGAAATAATCATATAATGTAAAGAGTTTGGCGGCATATATTGTAATTATAATGTTGCAGACATCAAATTCAGTGTCTCCGCTACACCGAAATTTCAAAATACGATGGGATTATCTCCTAAATAAAAATTCATAAAAGCTCCTATTTTGAACACATAATTATAAGAAGAGGTACAACAAAGGATAGTCATCGTCAAAATTAATTGATCATTCACCTGTTTTTATGGTTTTTGCCAATTCATCTATGTCATCATAAGTATGATCATCTTCATCTTCGTATTCCACGCCTGTAAAATATAAACACTGAACCTTTAAAATTACGTTCTTTAAATGGATATTTACACTGTGAAATTATCCAGAAGAATTGCTAATATCAGTAAATCATACATTTTTTTTCTTCCCTCAACAAAAATAATAGCGAGCACAGCTAACGTTTGTAATATGTGTGTGCAAAATTGTTGTCTAAAGGGCCGGAAAAGAGGAAAAACGAAACTCGATTACTTCATTTAACTGCATATATAAGTTCCGACTTATCGATTGATTAAAAACCATCCTCAACTTCAAAATAAAGCATACTAAAACGTAGATGTCGGAAATGATTTTTACTAACATAGACATTGAAAAATTATAAATCCTTCATGTCTATGAAAGGCTTTTACCGATCAGAATAAAAGCACATCTCATTTCCTGTTGACTTAATTTTCCGGAAATACTAAAACGCAGATCCCCAAAACGCCCATGGGGCTTTAACGGTCAATTGTCTATAAAGAACCATTTATGAAAAGGCAAAATAGGCCAAAAAGAAATTGCTCAAATACTCTACAGCTTACAAAGTAGACATTATTGGTTCATCAAGACATTTTCTGCAAACTTGAACTCATATCCTTTATACATTCTTTATACACGAACTACACGATTGACATTACACCGGACGTGTTAATTGTTGAAAAAGTAAGCTACAGGCCCAATGTGAAGACCCTTGATCTCTCGGTTATTCAGAAGTTGCTTAAGCATTTCAATATATTTGACCCCTGTGACATTGAAAATTGGTCCGATATCAGCACCCTGGGCCTTTTGGTTATTGAGAAGAAGTCATTTAAACATTTTGACACATTTAATACACGTGACCTTGAAAGTGGGTCAATGTCATTCATATTACCAAAGTTCTAGCATGCTACAGGCCTAATATGCTCATCCTAGGCTTTTCTCTTATTGGAAGGGAGTTACTAAGCATTTCTACACTTTTAACCCCTGTGACCTCGAAAATTGATCCAATATCAGCACCCTGGGCATTTTGGTTATTGAGAAGAAGTCATTTAAAGATTTCAACGTATTTGATTCCTATGACCTTTCAAGCGGATCAATGTAATTCCTATCAACTAGTGGTCGAATCAACTTTCTGAATTCAAGAAGTGATTCCCCACTCTCAAAGACGTTTTAGTTTACACTAAATTTGGTTGAAATCCATTTAAGCATTAAGAAATGTAAAATTTTGAAGCAAAATATTGCCTAACTTTCCCATTTAGGGCCCCGCCCACCCCCAGGTCCCTGGGGGGTCGAACTAACCTCCTGGTGTTCAGACCGGATTTGGTTAAAATCAATACATGTATTAAAAAGGAGTAGCAAAATATCGTCTTATTTTCCCTATGGAACTTTTTGATCAGAAAGATTCTCTCCTCTCAGTGCCGTTTCAGACCAAATATAGTTGAATCTATTCAAGCATTACGAGAGAGAACCGTCCGTAGTAATGTCTATTTGATGAAATTGTTTCGTGTGTATTATTATACGTATTTATTCTGGCGTTTCTCTCTCTCGAACTGAAACTCCATAAATATGGTTGATTAATTACCTGATGGCTTTGTAGAGTATAACGAAGGATTATTCAACTCATCCAAACTTGGTGGTTTGCTGCCATGTTTCTTAGTTCTACTCTGTCAATACGATCAAACGTAGACATTATATTAAAACATTCCGTAGGTCATATAGGTTTATGTCAAATAGATAATAATACAAAACTTTATTTCATATAATTCTGATTATAAATCAGAAGACCTTTTGTCCTTGCAGCATATCTATCTCTTCTCTTTGTTAAGATAATAACCCTGTCTATATCACTTCAGTATCCTACTGTCCGTCCGTCAGCTAGACTAGCTTATCCATCTCTTCTCTTTGTTCAGATAATCCTGTCTATATCACTTCAGTATCCTACTGTCCGTCCGTCCGCTTGGCTAGCATATCTATCTCTTCTCTTTGTTCAGATAATCCTGTCTATGTCACCTTCAGTATTCTACTGTCCGTCCGTCCGCTTGGCTAGCATATCTATCTCTTCTCTTTGTTCAGATAATCCTGGCTATGTCACCTTCAGTACACTACCGTCTGTTTGTCAGCTAGCATATCTAGCTCTCCTCTTTGTTCAATGTTCTCGTCATAGTTTGCGTGTACATACATTTTAGGAACCCATGTCGTTTTCATGTATAACGAGTTATCCAGTTTTCTTCGATTACAGATCGAGTGCGATAGTACACTCAGACTAAAGTCAATGATATCAAATAACTTACCTCTAATGTTGGTTTTTTGGTCTTGTGATCTACAATATCAAAGCCAACATTAACAGGGTAGTATCTTGAAGCATTATTTACAATAATACTCAATGTCTACGAAATTATATTTTATGTAAAAAATTAAATGACTATATGTCAAAACGTGTGAATTAAGTTATAGGTTTTAATCAGTTATTCTTGTCCTCCGTATGGAGGCATGTGGAAGGTGTAGCTATGAGAGGAACACAAGAGGAGCCTGGTCGAGCAGGCGACTTTATCTCTTCACATACGATCGGGGAAATGAACCCAGACCATCTTTTTGAAAGATGATTGCGATACTACAACGCTTTACAATGATTGATTGCATTTACACATCTATATTAAATCAAGTACTAAAATAGAAGTGCCAGATCAGTACATCATGTATCAGATTAAAATGAAGACAATATATTACCAAGCTTAGATGTCACAGTTGGTTGACCAACAGGTTCGTAGTCACTATCATCCTCGTTATTGTCATCTAAAATGAACAGATGACAGTAAATTATAGATAATGAAAAAAAAAAAAGTTATGCTAGGATTAATAAATGATTGACCTTTTGACCTCAAAGGCGTCACCACTAACAAAATTACAAACAGCTGCGTTAGTGTAATCAGTGTAATATAGTTCATACATCAATGAATTTGACCCTCTAGAGACTTTCTCATTGAATCTATAGATATGGAAGCTGAGAGTGAACATTTTCTATTCATAGTAAATAGGTCCCAATGAGTGAGTCTTATCTATTGTGGTGTATACCTGACATTTTTCCTTTTCGCGAAAAGACGCCAGGAGAAAAATCGTAAATAACGAAAAGACAGAAAACCCTACATCGAAAAAACGTAAAGGCGCAAATGGCATTCTTTTTAAACCTGGTGTGGCGTCTTTTCGTTGTTTCGCTTTGGTGGATTTTTCTTTATTACGAGGCGAGGATAAAGGACAACTAGGGGAATGGTTAGTGTGTCGAGGATAAAGGACAACTAGGGGAATGGTTAGTGTGTCGAGGATACGGGACAACTAGGGGAATGGTTAGTGTGTCGAGGATACAGGACAACTAGGGGAATGGTTAGTGTGTCGAGGATACAGGACAACTAGGGGAATGGTTAGTGTGTCGAGGATAAAGGACAACTAGGGGAATGGTTAGTGTGTCGAGGATAAAGGACAACTAGGGGAATGGTTAGTGTGTCGAGGATAAAGGACAACTAGGGGAATGGTTAGTGTGTCGAGGATAAAGGACAACTAGGGGAATGGTTAGTGTGTCGAGGATACAGGACAACTAGGGGAATGGTTAGTGTGTCGAGGATAAAGGACAACTAGGGGAATGGTTAGTGTGTCGAGGATAAAGGACAACTAGGGGAATGGTTAGTGTGTCGAGGATACGGGACAACTAGGGGAATGGTTAGTGTGTCGAGGATACGGGACAACTAGGGGAATGGTTAGTGTGTCGAGGATAAAGGACAACTAGGGGAATGGTTAGTGTGTCGAGGATAAAGGACAACTAGGGGAATGGTTAGTGTGACGAGGATATAGGACAACTAGGGGAATGGTTAGTGTGACGAGGATATAGGACAACTAGGGGAATGGTTAGTGTGTCGAGGATAAAGGACAACTAGGGGAATGGTTAGTGTGTCGAGGATAAAGGACAACTAGGGGAATGGTTAGTGTGTCGAGGATAAAGGACAACTAGGGGAATGGTTAGTGTGTCGAGGATAAAGGACAACTAGGGGAATGGTTAGTGTGTCGAGGATAAAGGACAACTAGGGGAATGGTTAGTGTGTCGAGGATAAAGGACAACTAGGGGAATGGTTAGTGTGTCGAGGATAAAGGACAACTAGGGGAATGGTTAGTGTGTCGAGGATAAAGGACAACAGGGGAATGGTTAGTGTCGAGAGGATAAGGGGAATGGTTAGTGTGTCGAGGATACAGGACAACTAGGGGAATGGTTAGTGTGTCGAGGATAAAGGACAACTAGGGGAATGGTTAGTGTGTCGAGGATAAAGGACAACTAGGGGAATGGTTAGTGTGTCGAGGATAAAGGACAACTAGGGGAATGGTTAGTGTGTCGAGGATAAAGGACAACTAGGGGAATGGTTAGTGTGTCGAGGATAAAGGACAACTAGGGGAATGGTTAGTGTGTCGAGGATACAGGACAACTAGGGGAATGGTTAGTGTGTCGAGGATAAAGGACAACTAGGGGAATGGTTAGTGTGTCGAGGATATAGGACAACTAGGGGAATGGTTAGTGTGTCGAGGATAAAGGACAACTAGGGGAATGGTTAGTGTGTCGAGGATACAGGACAACTAGGGGAATGGTTAGTGTGTCGAGGATAAAGGACAACTAGGGGAATGGTTAGTGTGTCGAGGATAAAGGACAACTAGGGGAATGGTTAGTGTGTCGAGGATACTAGGGGAGGACAACTAGGGGAATGGTTAGTGTGTCGAGGATAAAGGACAACTAGGGGAATGGTTAGTGTGTCGAGGATAAAGGACAACTAGGGCAATGGTTAGTGTGTGGAGGATACGGGACAACTAGGGGAATGGTTAGTGTGTCGAGGATAAAGGATAATTAGGGGAATGGTTAGTGTGTCGAGGATACAGGACAACACAGGGGAATAGTTTGTAAGGAGAGGATACAACACAACACAGGGGATGGTTTGTTGGTGAGGATTCAACACAACACATTGGAATGGTTTGTCGGTGAGGATACAACACAACACAGGGGAATGGTTTGTATGGAGAGGATACAACACAACACAGGGGAATGGTTTGTATGGAGAGGATACAACACAACACAGGGGGATGGTTTGTATGGATACAACACAAGAGGATACAACACAACACAGGGGGATGGTTAGGTGTGGAGAGGATTCAACACAACACAGGGTGCTGGTTTGTTAAGAGGATACAACACAACACAGGGGGATGGTGTGTTGGTGAGGACACAAAACAACACAGGGGGATGGTTTGTAGGTGAGGATACAACACAACACAGGGGGATGGTTTGTCGGTGAGGATACAACACAACACAGGGGGATGGTTTGTCGTTGAGGATACAACACAACGCAGGGGAATGGTTTGTATTGAGAGGATACAACACAACACAGGGGATGGCTTGTTGTTGAGGATTCAACACAACACATTGGAATGGTTTGTCGGTTAGGATACAACACAACACATCGGAACAGTTTGTGGTGAGGATACAACACAACACGGGGGAATGGTTTGTATGGAGAGGATACAACACAACACAGGGGGATGGATAAGAGGATACAACACAACACAGGGGGATGGTTTGTATGGAGAGGATACAACACAACACAGGAGGATGGTTTGTTGGTGAGGATACAACACAACACAGGGGAATGGTTTGTATGGCGAGAACATAACACAACACAGAGGATGGTTTGTATGGAGAGGATACAACACAACACATAGGAATGGTTTGTTGATGAGGTTACAACACAACTCAGGGGGATGGTTTGTATGGAGAGGACGTAACACAACACAGGGGAATGGTTTGTTTGTGAGGTTACAACACAACACACAGGAATGGTTTGTTGATGAGGTTACAACACAACACAGGGGAATGGTTTGTTTGTGAGGTTACAACACAACACATTGAAATGGTTTGTCGGTGAGGATACAACACAACACATTGGAATGGGTTGTCGGTGAGGATACAACACAACCCAGGGGGATGGTTTCTTGGTGAGGACATAACACAACACAGGGGAATGGTTTGTTGGTGAGGATTCCACACAACACAGGGGGGTGGTGTGTTTGTGAGGATACAACACAACACAGGGGAATGGTTTGTATGGGGAGGACATAACACAACACAGGGGAATGGTTTGTATGGAGAGAACATAACACAACACAGGGGGATGGTTTGTATGGAGAGGACACAAAACAACACAGGGGGATGGTTTGTAGGTGAGGATACAACACAACACAGGGGGATGGTTTGTCGGTGAGGATACAACACAACACAGGGGGATGGTTTGTCGTTGAGGATACAACACAACGCAGGGGAATGGTTTGTATTGAGAGGATACAACACAACACAGGGGATGGCTTGTTGTTGAGGATTCAACACAACACATTGGAATGGTTTGTCGGTTAGGATACAACACAACACATCGGAACAGTTTGTCGGTGAGGATACAACACAACACGGGGGAATGGTTTGTATGGAGAGGATACAACACAACACAGGGGGATGGTTTGTTAAGAGGATACAACACAACACAGGGGGATGGTTTGTATGGAGAGGATACAACAAAACATAGAGGGATAGTTTGTTGGTGAGAATACAACACAACACCGGGGAATGGTTTGTATGGCGAGAACATAACACAACACTGAGGGATGGTTTGCATGGAGAGGATACAACACAACACATAGGAATGGTTTGTTTGTGAGGTTACAACACAACACAGGGGGATGGTTTGTTTGTGAGGTTACAACACAACACAGGAGAATGGTTTATCGCCGAGGATGCAACACAACACAGGGGAATGGTTTGTTGGTGAGGATACAACACAACACATTGGAATGCTTTGTCGGTGAGGATACAACACAACACAGGGGGATGGTTTGTTGGTGAGGACATAACACAACACAGGGGAATGGTTTGTTGGTGAGGATTCCACACAACACAGGGGGTGGTGTGTTTGTGAGGATACAAGACAACACAGGGGAATGGTTTGTATGGAGAGGACATAACACAACACAGGGGAATGGTTTGTATAAAGATAACATAACACAACACAGGGGGATGGTTTGTATGGAGAGGATACAACACAACACAGGGGATGGTTTGTTGGTGAGGATTCAACACAACACATTGGAATGGTTTATCGGTTAGGATACAACACAACACATTGGAATAGTTTGTCGGTGAGGATACAACACGGGGGAATGGTTTGTATGGAGAGGATACAAAACAACACAGGGGGATGGTTTGTAGTTGAGGATACAACACAACACAGGGGGATGGTTTGTCGGTGAGGATACAACACAACACAGGGGGATAGTTGGTCGGTGAGGATACAACACAACGCAGGGGAATGGTTTGTATGGAGAGGATACAACACAATCCTGGGGATGGTTTGTTGGTAAGGATTCAACACAACACATTGGAATGCTTTGTCGGTGAGGAACACAACACTGGGGAATGGTTTGTCGGTGAGGATACAACACAACACAGGGGGATGGTGTGTTGGTGAGGACATAACACAACACAGGGGGGTGGTGTGTTTGGGAGGATACAAGACAACACAGGGGAATGGTTTGTATGGAGAGGATACAACACAACACAGCAGAATGGTTTGTATGGAGAGGATACAACACAACTCAGGGGGATGGTTTGTAAGGAGAGGATACAACACAAACAGGGGAATGGTTTGTTAAGAGGACATAACACAACACTGGGGAATGGTTTGTCGGTGAGGATACAACACAACACAGGGGGATGGTGTGTTGGTGAGGACATAACACAACACTGGGGGTGGTGTGTTGGTGAGGATACAAGACAACACAGGGGAATGGTTTGTATGGAGAGGACATAACACAACACAGCGGAATGGTTTGTATGGAGAGGATACAACACAACACAGGGGGATTGTTTGTTAAGAGGACATAACACAACACAGGGGAATGGTTTGTATGGACAGGATACAACACAACACAGGGGGATGATTTGTATGGAGAGGATACAACACAAACAGGGGGATGGTTTGTTAAGAGGACATAACACAACACAGGGGGATGCTTTTAATGGAGAGGATACAACACAACACAGGGGGATGGTTTGTTGATGAGGATACAACACAACACATCGGAATGGTTGGTATGGAGAGGATACAGCACAAAAGAGGGGAATGGTTTGCATGGAGAGGACATAACACAACACAGCGGAATGGTTGGTATGGAGAGGATACAACACAACACAGGGGGATGGTTTGTTGATGAGGATACAACACAACACATCGGAATGGTTGGTATGGAGAGGATACAGCACAAAAGAGGGGAATGGTTTGCATGGAGAGGACATAACACAACACAGCGGAATGGTTGGTATGGAGAGGATACAACACAACACAGGGGGATGGTTTGTTAAGAGGACATAACACAACACAGGGGAATGGTTTGTATGGAGAGGATACAACACAACACAGGGGGATGATTTGTATGGAGAGGACACAACACAAACAGGGGGATGGTTTGTTAAGAGGACATAACACAACACAGGGGAATGGTTTGTATGGAGAGGATACAACACAACACAGGGGGATGATTTGTATGGAGAGGATACAACACAAACAGGGGGATGGTTTGTTAAGAGGACATAACACAACACAGGGGGATGTTTTTAATGGAGAGGATACAACACAACACAGGGGGATGATTTGTATGGAGAGGATACAACACAAACAGGGGAATAGTTTGTTGGTGAGAGGATACAACACAACACAGGGGAATGATTTGTTGGTGAGGATTCAACACAACACAGGGGAATGGTTGGTATGGAGAGGATACAGAACAAAAGAGGGGAATGGTTTGCATGGAGAGGATACAACGCAACACAGGGGAATGGTTTGTTGGTGAGGATTCAACACAACACGGGGGAATGGTTTGTATGGAGAGGATACAACACAACTCAGGGGGATGGTTTGTAAGGAGAGGATACAACACAAACAGGGGAATGGTTTGTTAAGAGGACATAACACAACACTGGGGAATGGTTTGTCGGTGAGGATACAACACAACACAGGGGGATGGTGTGTTGGTGAGGACATAACACAACACTGGGGGTGGTGTGTTTGTGAGGATACAAGACAACACAGGGGAATGGTTTGTATGGAGAGGACATAACACAACACAGGGGGATGGTTTGTTAAGAGGACATAACACAACACAGGGGAATGGTTTGTATGGAGAGGATACAACACAACACAGGGGGATGGTTTGTATGGCGAGAACATAACACAACACAGGGGGATGGTTTGTTTGTGAGGATACAACACAACACAGGGGGGTGGTTTGTTGGTGAGGATTCAACACAACACAAGGGAATGGTTTGTATTGAGAGAAAACAACACAACAGAGGGGATGGTTTGTTGGTGAGGATTCAACACAACACCTTGGAATGGTTTGTCGGTGAGGATACAACACAACCCAGGGGGATGGTTTGTTGGTGAGGACATAACACAACACACGGGGGTGGTGTGTTTGTGAGGATACAAGACAACACATTGGAATGGTTTGTCGGTGAGGATACAACACAACACAGGGGAATGGTTTGTCGGTGAGGATGCAACACAACACAGAGGGATGGTTTGTTGGTGAGGACATAACACAACACAGGGGGGTGATGTGTTTGTGAGGATACAAGACAACACAGGGGAATGGTTTGTATGGAGAGGACATAACACAACACAGGGGAATGGTTTGTATGGAGAGGATACAACACAACACAGGGGGATTGTTTGTTGGTGAGGATTCAACACAACACAGGGGGATGGTTTGTATGGAGAGGATACAACACAAAAGAGGGGAATGGTTTGCATGGAGAGGATATAACACAACACAGGGGGATGGTTTGTATGGAGAGGATACAACACAACACACGGGCATAGTATATGTAGAGAGAAATAATTTCTGTATAAAATTAAAAGTCGTAGTACATTCACATCGTTTCTGCTGTCGACTGGCACGCATTGGGAAATCCGAAACCGAAAGGTCACTGTATGATATATTTTTTGTGTGTGTATTCACAATTGTGTATACTGTTCACAGTGCGGATCGGTTATGACGTAATCGATCTAGCTAGGTCTATAGGAAATTCCCGCAAAGTAAATACCTTATGTTTGTTTAATACTGATGAACTGTAGTGAACGATTTCCATAAAAATAGATGTTTAAGTACAGTTTTCTTTAAAATCATAGAATGAAATCCACATTTGTGCAGAGTATCCCATAAATATCATTCATATTAGTTTAAACTTTTTTTATTGTCTAAATAACGAAAAGGGGATCGGGTGAAAGTTATTACAGCCCCATCCAGACATAAGTAAATAATTACAATGTTCTATAAACATAGACAGAAACAATTACCTATATTTGTTTCAAATTTAAAATACAGTTCACTAACACATATTAAGACATTTACAGTAATATCAACATTAGAGATTCGTACATTTATGAGGTAGTAAATAATTATGACACAACTATTTACATTCGTGTGTCACAATCTGCTGTGTAAAGGTGGAGGATATCGGGAAAACACTACTTGAAATCATTTGTACCTACCAATCACATGACCAGAATTTCAATTACACACCAAAGCATTTTCTTTGTCTAGTTGCTTAACATATGCCTGGCAATAACGCAAACATGTATTATTTTTCAGTTTATACACATCCACACCATTGTGCTTACCTGTCTTGGTTAGTCCTACTTTGGGTTTTACGTTTGGTAGCGGTTTGGGTTTTCGTCGTTCTGGTCTTTTTGGTAATGTAGGCTTGACAATTTGATGTGGAATGAATAACACCTTTGGATAAATTACAGTATCTATAGTTTCTTCAACAGCAGCAATAGCGTGGTCCGTGTTTGGGTTAGTCTGGGCCAGTACTACTCCATAGGTGGAGGCTTCGGGCTCCTGAGGAATTTTCACCTGAAGCTGTGACATGACGACACTGTCAACTGGAATAACAACACTTTTGTCCATTGCATTCTTCGGTGTTTTGACAGACGGTTTCAGAGTGCAAACCAAAACTTCCTGCTCTTTGATACTTTTTATTTCTATCATTTTTCCTTCCAGAGAAATGTTTTTCATTCCTGTATAACCAAAGCTTGGTTGGTTTGGTGATTCTAAGTTAGAAAACTGCACAGTCTGTGGTAGTGGGTACCTATCAATCAACTCTTGAATGGTGTATTCTGTATTGTCCGATAGCAGAAGGCATCTGATCGATTGTGTGAGACCTAGAGTGTAACTGTAACCATCACACAGACATGACAGTCCGTCTCTCTTCTCCGTACGCGTAAGTTCAATATCAGATTTAGCATTGATGGTATAACCGCGTTTGTCTGCAAAGTCATCTATTAATCGTACGTACCTCGGGACCTCCTTCTGCAGTTCACGTACGGTTTGGTATACTTTGTGTCCGGCATCACGACGATAAACGGTCAGGCCTCGTTTGTATCCGACAGGTATACTAATTTCATTATCTGCGAGAGCTCCTTTCTGTTTTGATTCACAACCTAAGACCTTTGTTACTGTCTTTTTGAGATGTATTTGGAGTAAATCCCCGTGTGTAAATCTATCGTCGGTTAATTCATATATACCTTCATCAATTTTAACCAAAACAGGGATGCCGAGATCCTGAATAACCTCTGATAATGTGTAAGTCTTCTCCGACCACAGTAGTCGCCAACGTTTGTTGGTGACGGCCATAATTCAGAAGAGGAAGTTTAATTCAATGAATAGGATTTCTGTATGAACGCACATATATTCTGTAATCACGTATATGGCCTGTGTAATGACACTCGTACACTACACGTATCAACATAACATGCGTTAGTGTGAGACAAAAATACACCGCTCTAGAAAAGGCTTATGTTATGATCCAATGAGGCATGGAAGATGAGATTAGGAATCCCATAACAGTATATCTAGTCAATTTAGGCAATATCATGCACACCGAACAAAGAGCCAGTGCTTTACATTTTTCACAAGAAAGTGGTTTAAAACGACTTGTTATATTGCATGTATTTGTATCTATAAGTACAACAAAGAAACTCGACCAATACCTCTAATAACAGTGAACAGTTATTCTTTCTAATAAAACCAAACAGCAACATCATCATCATCATCATCATCATCATCATCATCATCATCATCATCAACAACAACAACTTTGAGGAACATGAGATAGATTATCGAGAGTGCGGGGCTCGATATATTCGAGTGTAGAAAGAGAAAATGTATGTTTTACATCAGAAAATACGTTTTGGTCCAGGTTTCAGGTTGATCCTTACTATTTTGTAAAATGAAATCGCACTGTGACAGAAGGAGGAGATAGAAATTGGGAGTACTTTTTAGTTGTCTATTTAATAATTTCAATGTTAACAAATGTCACCTACGTATGCTGTTCTACTAAGTAAGAAAAATGAGTATAAACTATATTTAAGGAATATTTAAGACAATACAATCAAAGGTCCTATTAAAAGAATGGAAAGAAGAAAGTGGCACCGTCTAGGTTGCGAAAAATTGCTTCTTCCAACTCTTTCCATATTATACTCAATAATATACTTGAATCTTATTACTTTCCTTCTAATTGGTCATCAGCCATAATTATTTATGTACATAAGAAAGGCGATCGAAATGACCCTAATAATTTTAGAGGTATCAGCTCAATTAACTGTCTTTGCAAACTTTTTACGTCACGTGATGTCGGAGAGACCGGTGAGAATTTGTGAGGTATTTTTTCTCTAATATTGCTGTTCCAAACGTCCAGTTCGGTAGGCACTGTGAATTTGGCATATACATAATTGGAATCCCTATACCCGGATATATTTGAGAAGCTTATTTCATCAGTTGTGAATTATACGATTTTAACGGAGGACAGGTGTGGTCTACGTGGCATTGTGTACGTTTCTATTTATAGACATACATGTACATGATATACAGGTATGTCTGAGCTCGGTTCATTTACGACTACACCTGAGCAGGCCGCAATGTATTCTAGTCCCATTAATCCATCCCAGTCAGATTTGCACAAGAGGAAGACTTTGTTTAGTCCAGTGTCACCTAATGATACTATGGACACAGTTAATAAACGGCCCATCACTTATGTGACAACGCCCGATCTCACTAAATCGTCACCCCCCACCCCCGGCCAGCCCGGTCTGACGTATACATGTACACAGAGTGTTCCATCACCCTCCTCAGCAACTAATGTTCTCGCCGGAATTTCTTTCGCAGTTCTCAGTTCTCGCAAATGTTGGCACCTACTCTAGCCAGTATGGTTTCATCTTTATTATTAGAGTCTATGAAGCCCCAAGAGGAGGCAGCCGTACGATTAGCCTTATCTAACAGTGACTTACTAAGTCGACAATTATTCGGTGTGTAACTCCGCTCCAAAATATCGTTGAGAGACAGGTATCTGAGATTGAGTCTCTGAGAGACACAGTGAATACCCTTCAGAGCGAGCTGGACGAGCAACAGCAGTGCTCGAGGCGTACAGCCCTTAAATTTCATAACGTCCCCATTGTCTGTGCCGTCAAAGACTTTGACACCTATCAAGCCGTAATTAATATTTGTGAAGAAATTGGGGTTCATATCACACTCAACGATCTATCTCGCACCCACACTCAAAAAGTCCGTTACAAGAAGGTTGCTATTTATAGCACGTGTTATTGAGTATACAGACCGTCAACGTGTCTATAGTGCGAAATCCAGTCTGAGACCCAACAAGGACAAAGTGTTTATCACGGAGTCTTTGACTAGATACCACCAGAGTATTGTAAACCGTCTAGGCGAAGTATGGAAGGACAATATAATTGCCTCTCACTGGACTATTAAATGGTGGGATTTTTGTGAAGAAGACTCCAAGTTCCCCTAAGACACTGATAGTGTCGCATGCCTGTGTCGATCGCATTATCTCGGAAGTCACGTCTTTTAATTCTTATTATCAGCGAACGACATGATTGACATTCCATTATTACGTTGAATATAATGCGTTTGATGTGGCAAGATTAGGATACCCCTCTTGCACTCATATCCATAATTATCTATACAATAAGATACGAAGATTCATATGTATATATATATCCCTCTAACATAACATATCCGTAATTATCTATATACAAATCTAACGTCATATCGTTCTATTACGTCTAGTATAATGTATTTGTTGTAGTAAAATTTCCCTCTGACATACGTATCCATAATTAGTATATGGGTCTATGTATCCATTTATCGAACGTCATATCGGTAATTTTTGTTTTAGTTATACATTGTATTGCCAAGCTTCTAAAGTACACAAGCTTCAGATACTGACACTGAGTATTAAACTTTACTTTGTCCGTTTCCACTTCATAATTATATAGTGGTACCATATACATATTAACACGGGTGACACTGCATATTTTTTATATATTTCAGTTCAATTCCAACACACTTATTCATCAGTGTATATTTTCATACATCACATGTTCATGAATGTTTTGCTACATTTTGTATTATATACTTTCTTTCTATTTCTTTCCTCCACTTACATTTTCCCCTCCCTCAGTCACATTCTTTTCCTGAATGACCCCCTTGCTCGTACCAATCTACAGTCCCGTTCTGGTTGCCCGTCGGCCGATGCCGTGTACATGAACTCCTTTGTTATTTTATAGATTATGGGTAATTCTATTGAACTGTACAGGGCTTCGATCGGATTGTTCCACTGTAGATGTTATTTATCCACTACTTCATTAAAATTTCTTTTGTTATCACTACAATATTAACATTACTTGCTATTTTGATAAATGTCAACTTGTTTCCTATCGTAAGAGTTATACTGAGAACGATATATAATGTATTTATTGAATCTGACTTTTACAGTTCTGATTTTCCCTTTATTCTTATCATGTTCCTGCTCAGTGGAGATATTGAAACGAACCCTGACCCTGACAAATTTGATTTAAGTGTTCTTCACTTAAATATCAGAAGTATTAGAAACAAATTATGTCATCTGAACAATATCATTACCGACTTCGATATTTTGTGTTTTTACAGAAACACACATTGGACGAACATTTAGTTATTCCTGGTTACTCCCTATTCTTCCGTTAACATAGAAATACCCGTGTACTTGTATATTTTTCTGACGCTATAAAAGCTACCAGAAAGCTAGATTTTGAACCTGCAAATGCCGAAATACATTGTCATAACAGTATTATGTTTGGTCTACTTTATAGCCCGCCTAATTCCTCACATGACTTTTATCGTAACTTAGAGTGGTCTATTGAATCAGTGTGTGACTACACTAATGATATAGTTCTTCTTGGTGATTTCAATGTTGACATTAATCGTCCAAACTCTAATCTTGAAACAATAGCTTTAGGTATGACCTCAGAAATATTATTTTGGAACCTACCCGTGTTCCTCCTACCTCAGCGACACTACTAGATCCTATTTTCGTTTCTAATTATATTAAGTGGCTCAATAGCGGTGTGTTTGGGGTTGACAACACTATTAGCGACCATAAATCTACCTATTTATCTATGTCCTTTTCGTACAATTGTAAGTGTGCCTATAAGAGGCAAGTTTGGAATTATAAAAAAGCTGATTTTGATAAACTAAATAATTTGCTTAGTAGGGTTGATTAGCATGCAGTTATTATGGATGCTCCTTCCATTGATTCCACTACTTCTAATTTTACTTGTAAATTTTTTAGAAATTGTTCGTACTTGTATTCCTAACCACGATGTAACGATCCGTCCGTCTGATAAACCATGGTTAGACTCAGCTTTACGTAAACAATGTCAAATTCGTGAAAAACTCAGGAAGAAGGCTCTAAGTACTAGTAATTCTAGTGATTGGAAGAATTATCAGAAAGCCAGAAATACCGTAAATAATATGAAAAAGGAAGCAAAAGCACGTTTTTACTGTAATCTTGAGTCACACGTTGATGAATCAAGAAATGCTAATCCCCGTTACTTTTGGAAAATACTTAAAAGTTTTATGTCTTCTCCGCAAAAAATGCTTCCTCCACTTCAGTATGTTGAGAATGGTAATCATAAGGTTGCATACGACGACCAAGAAAAAGCCGAAGTACTTAATGACCACTTTTCTTCCATATCTAACATTGATGTTACTGGTGCAAATTTACCCCCTTTTCTTAGCAAATGTGTCAATACTTTAACTGATGTTATCGTTACTGAAAAAGATGTATTTGATGTTTGTCAGTTCTTGATACTGGTAAAGCAGTTGGTCCTGATAAAATCAGTCACCGTATGCTTAAAGCTACGGCAAGAACATTGTCGATTCCTTTATCATTATTATTTAATTGTTCTATCCGTGAGCATTCTTTTCCGACAGAATGGAAAATAGCACATGTGTTACCCCTTTTTAAGAAAAGTGATCGCCACCTTCCGGTTACTTATCGTCCTATTTCTTTATTAAGTTGTGTTTCCAAAGTAATGGAAAGGTGTGTTTTTAAACATGTTTTCAAGAGATAACAATGTTTTCTATAAATATCAATCTGGATTCATACCAGGTCATTCGACAGTTTACCAACTGGTCGAGTTATATAATAATATTGTTTCTGCTAGAGACAGAAAAGAATATTCGTTTGTTGTATTTTGCGACCTCTCCAAGATATTCGATAAAGAGTAGCATGATGAACTCCTATTTAAACTTCGTCAATATGGCATTGATGGTAACCTATTCTCTTGATTCTCAAG